CAATCCCCATCCTAGCTATCCATACAGAGTCAATGAAGGCAAGGGTGGTCGTTACAGAATCCGATGTCAACTTGAGACTATTAAGAGTGAAGGGGGGCCGTAACAACGCTCGGTGGAGTTGTTCTGCCATGGCCTCCAACTTTAAGAAGGCAAGCATGGCATCAACTTCCCAGCGAAAGAGGATGTCTTCCAAGCCCGAAATCAGTGATGACCAGAAACAGGAGATCCGCGAAGCTTTTGATCTCTTTGATGCAGACGGAACTGGTACCATCGATGTCAAAGAGCTAAAGGCGCTGGGCTTTGAGCCCAAGAAGGAAGAGATCAAGAAAATGATCAATGAAATTGACAAAGAAGGCACAGGGAAAATGAACTTCAGTGACTTTCTGGCTGTGATGACTCAGAAAATGTCTGAGAAAGATACCAAAGAAGAAATCTTGAAAGCCTTCAAGCTCTTCGATGACGATGAAACTGGCAAGATCTCTTTCAAAAATCTGAAGCGCGTGGCCAAGGAGTTGGGCGAGAATCTTACTGATGAAGAGCTTCAGGAAATGATCGATGAGGCTGATCGGGACGGTGATGGGGAGGTTAGCGAGCAGGAGTTCCTGCGCATCATGAAGAAGACCAGCCTTTACTAATGCAGCACCCATCTCTCCTTGGTGCAAGCCAGGGTGGGAAAGTTCTCTGAAGACCCTAACCATTTTCACCCCCACCCCCCTTATCGCTTTAGCACCAGCCTCGAATCCCCTCGTATCCTCTTGCCATTGCTCTTTGACATTTCAAACCATCATGCTCGGCTGGGCTGCTGGTTTGCATTCCCCGAAACTGAACTAGAGCATGCTTGCTAGCCGAAGAGAGGCCCCGAAGGCTGTCACCCACCTCCCCTCTTGGCCTTGCCTTGCACGGCCCTCCAAACCCATGTTCCTGATTGCCACCAGCAGTATACCCTTCTGTGGAGGCTCTGGCTTTCCATTGACAGCTGGACTGACTGGCATTTTCTCTTTTGTCAAACCTGCTGCCCTCCCTCCCCGGTGCTCTGGGGCGGAGGGGCGGGGGTGTCCAGTGCTCTTGGGTTTGTCTTTGAAAATAAAACCTTTCTGATTTTGAGAGTGTGCTAAGGATGACTTGACTTCTTGAGCCGAGGCCCTGTGTTTAATCTTCTAAAGCCTCCAGCCAAAGGCAGCCTAAGCACAACCCCCTGCTCGCCCACCAGCCCACAGGCAGACCCAGAAAGAATTCTGTCAGCATGAGTTGGTTCTTGCCTCAGGGACCCGCCTGTTCGGAGAACAAACAGAATTTCCACCTTGCCTCTGTCTAACCGAGCCTCCTTGTGCAGCCCCCTGCCTAGGGTGTGGGATGGCTAAGCCCGGGGTTAACTCACAGGAGCTCTGGAGTGGGGCTGGTCACCTGGCCCTGAGCGGGGGCTGAACCGGCAGCTGTGTAAGCCCTGATGGGTGGCATGAAGGTTCCTGTCCCTAAGACGGTGGAGAACACGCCTCAGCTGGGAAGAGGGCAGCAAAGATGATGTGCTCAGCCCTCTAGGAGGTTCGCAGACACGGACACCCTGTCCTTCTGAATCTCAGGTCTGCCACCATGACAGTGAAGGTCCCGCTTGGGATTTTTGTGATTTATTTGCTGTCCATGTGAACATCCCAGTCGAACTGCAGGGCTTGATTTTTATCCCATAACCCTTTGTGTGTGTGTGTGTGTGTGTGTAGGAGAACCTGGGCCTCCTTACTGGCAGCCTCCAGGGCGTGTCCATGCCCCTCACCTACACCCTGTGGCCCAGAAGGGGGCATTTTGAGAACCACAGGAGAGGCACCCCCACCCTGACTTCTCCAGGGGACTCAGGTGTCTGTGGAGACATGGTGTGTGCTTCTGCCCGAGTTGATGGGCCCCAATGGAAGCGTCAGAAAGCACCTGGCTTTGAAGGTGCTCTGGAAGCAGACTGTTGAGGACTGCTAGTTCTCTCGTTACTTTGCTTCTCACGTAGGCCCTGTTGCCAAGTGTGGGCCTGGGACGCATTCAGGATGAGCTGTGGACAGCAGTCCCAGCTCTGCCTCCCTCCCGCCCCCGCTGGATCGCTGTTTTCTAATAAAAGGCGCATGATCTGATAAAAACTATATTGGAAAAGAGTGATGAGATTGGGCCCTCTCTCCCACCTCACAGGCAACCTTATCTCCTACTGCCTGATGTCCCAGAAATGCCATCAAGTCTCCGTCAGAGGAGGGGATAGGGACAGAGGTGGAGGGGAGTCAGGGTGGGGGAGCCCAGCGAGCAGATGTGCATTCCTGCGGCCCTGGGCTGGAGCTGAGATGGAGAAGGGCTAGTGGAAGGGATGGAAGAGCAGAGGGCAGTCCATGTGGGTGTGGCCCAGAGAGGTGGAGGGCAGCCAGCCCGGGTCCTGGTGCATAGGTGGTTTGACCAGGAAGATGTGGGAGCTGTTGGCGGGGTGTGGTGTTGGTGGTGGTGGTGGCGGGCTTCTAGGGAGCAGATGTTGTTTCACCTGGGGTCTTCCAGGAGATGGGGGCTGGGAGGTGCTATTTGGATGGGTGTATGTGGGGCTGCATCCAAACCCACCTCCCAGCCCCCATCTAGGGGGAGATGGAGAAGAAGCGGGAGGCAGTTGATGTGGGCATGGGAACTAAGAGGTGGCAGAGGCCAGTGTGTGGCGGGTAGGCCAGAGGGCAGTGAGCAGAAGCAGGTCCTATAGGAGTACAGTTTGGGGTGGAGAGGGAATTGACCTTCCTTCATGAGGAACTGGACCAGAGATCTGTGAAGGTGGGATGCAGTCCTAGAGGAAGCAGGGCTTAGTTCCTGAAGGGGAAACCAGAGAGTGGGCCCTATGGGAGTTGGAGAGGGTGAGGGAGCAGAGGTGACTCCCTGTGGGAAGACTTGCTAGGGAAGCAGAAGGGCAGTGGGCAATTGATACAGGCTGGGCCAGAGAGCTGGAGGACAGGGAGAGAAGAGAAGGAATAGGGGCCACTCGTGTTGGGTCTTGTCAGCCTCTGTCATTACCCAGGAGCCATTCACTGGCTTAGTCTTTGCTTTGCTCCAAATGCAATAGACCTGCTAGGGATTGGGGGACCCTCTTGGTACACAGATCTGGGCTGGAGGCAAGTTGCATCCCCTGATTCCGGTAGGTGGCCTCTTGTCATTTTTACCTTCTCAGAGATAGATTTCTGTTTATCTCTTTGGATGGATAAAATTCTATGGTATCTGAAAAGACCAGAAAGAGAGCGTTTTGTACCCTTTTTTTTTCTTGGGGAGCCACTTCCTTTGAAAGTCTAGTAGGGAGACCATGAGGTGTCAGGGATTGAATTATGGCCGAAGCCAAAAGCTTTGTTGAGGTCCTAACCCCTGGTACCTGTCAATGCGGCCTTGTGTGGAAACAGGTTTTTTTGTGGATCTGATCAGTCTGCCTGAGGTCAAGGGTCCCTGGTGAGGCAATGAGTGAAATTGTAGACTGTTACCCAAGAAGGTAGAAGTTTGAACCCTAACCTACCACCCACTCTGCGAAAATAGCAGACAGTTCTGTTCAGCCCTGTAGGGTCACTAGGAGCTGGGATCAAGTTGATGGCAGTGGTCTCTCCATCCTAACACGAGGTCACAGGAGGAGGTGGTGTCCCATGGAAGAGGAGGAGAGACATCAAGTGAAGGTGCATCTACAAGCCAAGGAACGTCTGCGGCCACCAGAAGTTGGCAGGATCAGCAAGGGCCTGCCCCTAGATCCTTTTGAGAAAGCATGGCTCTGTTGACACCCCGAATTCAGACGTTCACCTCCTGGCACTGCCACCCAGGCTGTGGGGCTCCATTCTGACAGCCAGTGAAAGGTAAGACAGGAGATTGTAACCCATCCAGGAGCTCAGTCTGCAGCCAGCCATCGCCACCGTGACTGGGAGGAGTTTCCCTGCAGTAAAAACTGGTGTGTTTCTTCCATGTGGACTTTGTTGTTTCTCAGGTAGATGGACGCTTGTTTATCTTCAAGCCTTTAAGACCCCAGACGCTATATCTTTTGATAGCCAGACATCATCAGCTTTCTTCACCACATTTTGTCATCAGCAATAGTGTTGGGAAGGTGAGTATCATGGAATGCACGTCATATGGCGAACATATTACACAGCCAGCGGGTCAGATCAGAAGCAGGTAACGTAATAAATGAGCAATGAGGTGAGTTCTTGCCCTAGTGCTAGTTGATTTTGAACAACCCCCCCCCTCCAGCCTGGAGCCCTCCCCTGGGGGGTACACTGTGATCTGTATCAGCAAGAGACTTCAGGAAAGAGTGTGCTATATTTATGGTGGGTTTGGCTCTGGAACCTGATTGCTCCAATCTTAGAGATAACAGTGAATCCAGGCACCATGAATAGCCAGGCACACGAATGATTCATCTTATAGGACTGCTCCTTAATGGAGGGCTATTGCGGGCTGGCAGCGGGGGGCACATTGTTGGCCTGGAGACCATGTATTTGAAAACATTTTTTATTGCAGAACAATGGAGATGTTTCTCAAAATAGGACTAATGTTTCAGGCCTGGGGTTGTGAGTCTCCCGTTTAATATGAGTCTGCAGGGGGCCCACATGCTAGCATCAAACTGTAAGCCCCAAGCTCTCCTGCTCGCCTTTGGCCTACCCCCCAATTCAACCCCAGGCCAGAACCTCTGTTCTCAAGGGTGTTCCAGAGCCCCACACCAGGGCTTTTGAACTTTCCCTTATGGGCTTGTCACACTTTCAAATACTACAAAGGGTAACAGCACCCTCAATGAGAGGAATACACTCTCCTCAACAGCATTAAAGACGTGAACTACAGTTTCAACTCACACCACTCACGTGACTAGAACTGCTCACAGTCCAGCATTAGAAACCTCATTGTAACTGGGTAACAATGACAGCTCTGCCCGGAGCACGCTCAAAGGCTTAAAAAGTAACTATGCTCTAGTTCTTTAATATTTCCTTCCCTTGCTATTATGGCTTTTAATTGTTTTACCTCACTCATCGTGTCAGACTTGCTTGTGTTCGTTCATATAATTAAGATTGTTCAATACATGAAAGCCTCATTAGATGACCCTTCAGAAACAGTGACAGGAGTAATGGTTCCCTGAGGGTACGGGAAGAGAGGAGGGGAGCTGATAGCCTTTATGACTGTATAACCCAGCTTGAGGGGAGCGAACCAAGAAATTGTATGTGAATGGATATATTAGATGGTATAAGATACAATAATAATGATAAGGGTTCGATGTAACAATGGTGAGAAGTACAACTTTCCTCTAGTTCCTAAATGTTCCCTCCCCGCTCCCACTACCATGACTCGATTCGACCTTGCAAGTCTGGCTAGACCAGAGGAGGTACACTGGTACAGATAGGAACTGAAAATACAGGGAATCCAGGGCGGATGAGCCCTATAGGACCAGTGGTGTGAGTGGCGAAACAGGGAGGGTGGAGGGAGAGTGGGTAGGAAGGAGGGAACCGATGACAAGGGACTATATGTGACCTCCTCCCTGGGGGACGGACAACAGAAAAGTGGGTGAGGGGAGACGTCAGACAGGGCAAGATATGACAAAATACCAATTTATAAACTATCAAGGGCTCATGAGGGAGGGGGGAGCAGGGAGGGAGGGGAAAAATGAGGACCTAATGTCGGGGGGTTTAAGTGGAGAGAAAATGTTTTGAGAATGAAGTACAAATGCGCTTTACACAATTGATGTGTGTATGGATTGCGATAACAGTTGTATGAGCCCCTAATAAAATGTTAAAAAAATAATGATAAGGGTTCCTGGGGGGCAGCGTGGAGGAGGGAAGTGATAAGGGGGAGCTGATATCAAGGAGTTCCAGAAGAAAGAAAATGTTTGGAAACGGACTGTGGTAGGGATTGTACACTACTGCTTGATATGATTGAATTAGGGAATGTTATGATATCTGTAAGATGATTAAAAAAAGGAAATGAGCTGAGAGTGTTAGCCTCCTGGGCTTGTTGACACATGTAAGGTGGACTTGCAAATAAATGTTTTTGTTTTTAGAACTAAGTCTTTAATTTTTTGAATTATAAAAAATTAATTTCTGCTGAGATACTGCACAACAATTTTACAGACGGCCAGATGGATGTTCCCCCTT